AAATTATATAATTCATATTTCATTATCAATTTTTTTTTTTCAATTTTTTTTATCAACTTTTTTCATTAACTAAATTATATAATTTTTCCCATCAATTATTATGATTGGCTTACTATAATTGCTTTTCATTTTCTTTTCACATAAATGCCCTAAACTACTGCACTCTCACTTTATTTAGTTGCAGTTCATACCAAATATCAGGGTATTTGCTTAGTCATGCATCAATGATCAATAATTTTTAATAGGATTGTTTCATTGTCTCACAAATTGATTGTCTCTCAAGTGTGTCATCAATTTTGTGGCCAATTATTATTCAATAGTTATCCATGAACTCATCAAGCCGACTTTGGTTCCCAACCCCATCAATTATTTAGGCGTTATTCGTTTTGATGGCACTTTTCAATTTTTCCACAAGACATGTGGAGTGGAGCTGTTGCAGCGAATTTTTCACGCTTGAGAGATGAACTCGAAATAAGATGTGCTGTGCGCGCGTCGCTTTTGGCTTTCGCTTGGCTGCCTTGGGCTGCCAGAGAGCCAGCAGAGTCAGCAGAGTCGCGTCTGCTGCTGGTTTTTCCTGTTGCAATTTGTACAATTTGTTGATTTTTCTTTTCGACTACAATTACATTTGGCAGCCCACTAAATTGCTGGCAGCATGTGAGGTGCGAGTAAGACAATTTAACTTCCTCTTGTTTCATATAGTAGAGCCACTGCCTCTGTGAGCTCTAAATTTGACATTAGTCATGGCAGCAGCAGCAACAGCAGCAACGACAATAACAATAACAATAACAACAGCAACAGTAACAGCTAAGCGACATGCGACATGCAATTGCCAAGTGAGCGACAAAAGTTGCTGCTGTCTCTGCTCGGAGGCCACGTCTTGTTTTGTCTGTTTCTTTTCACTTTCGATTTCGATGCGAGTGTAACTCTCCGCACACACACACACACACACACACACACACACACACACACACACACATAGACAAACGCGCACGCTTGAGAGTCTCCGTTTCACACTCTTTGGCGCATATTACTCAATAGCGAACGTCTCTGCGGCTGCTCCACGCCGCTCGACGCTGCTGCGTGCGTGTTGGTGAGCGTGTTGATGGCCTTTTTGATTTTGAATTTGTCAGCCAACTGTTTATTAAGTGTTTTGACGTTACCGCAAACTGTTCGCAAACGCAAAGCCCACCGCAAGGCAGTCGAACACGAACAAAATAAGAAAATAAAAACAGCTCACAGAAATATACGGCAACAGTAACAGTAACACAGCCGAAACCTCAACGAAAATTTCCAACAAAAGTCTTTTTCAAGAAAAAGTGCGTGACGCGTACAAAATATGTTAAAATATTAAAATGGCCGCGAAATAAATGCATTGGGTCTTATTGCCAAATATTAAGCTAAGTGGGCTGCGCGAATTTTGTATTTAATTCAATCTGAACTGCCCTGCCTGCCGTCTGCTATGCAAACGAGCGATTATTCAATCAAAAACTCGCGCCGCTACGTGAATTAAGTGAAACACACAATTGCACAAAATCGCAGACAAACCAACAACAACAACAACAACAACGGCAGCAACAGCAACACCAGCAACACCAACAACAACGACAACAATTACAACAACTACAACGAAAGTATTGCAAAATGCGCGCAGTTGCATGGCTGCTGCCGCTGCCAACGTCGCTGCTGCTGCTGCTGCCAACTCTACTGCTCGGCCTGGACGCTGCCCACAGCAGCTACAACTCCGTCTACAATGATGTGATTACGCCGGAGCTCAAGGAGGCCATTGATAAGAACTTGCCCAAGCAGGCAAAGTTCTTCGATGAGCTCGATTGTAAGTATGCAAGTTTGTTGCCTAAGTCTTTTGTTTGGATTGCTTTGGCAGAATATGCCAGATATTTCTTTTGTATATAAGAGCGTGATTAAACCTGTCAGCAGACAAGGTAAAAGTGTGTCACCCAAATCTTTATTAAAAACTACACTAAATTACTCTTCCGCTCATCACGCCCTTCACACAAATTGCGCACATGCAATTTCGTTATCTAATATTTCGCCTTGCAAATTGGTTAATACAGATTCGCGTTTGCCAAAACAAGAGCAAGTTCGTTGCCTAAGTCTTTCGTTTTTGGCAAACTGCGAAAGCATGAGCATGCGGTTCAATTACATAATTAACATATTAGTTAACCTTGAACATAGAAATCACACATCGATACGATGTCAAGTTCACATGACTCACGACACGATTTCTACGAAACCAAATCGGACTTAAGCCAGGCGAAAGTGAGTTAGTAAACGCCCTTACGCATGTATAATGTACATATATCGTGTTCTTGGCCTGCCCAAGCTGTGAGCCGACTTCATTCATCTTGCAAGCGCGCACAACTTTAATTGGACTTTCCAAAAACTAAAAACAAGACAAGGCATCCAATTAGTTTGAGAAACGCACGTCCACAGCTAAGAGCCAGAGCTAAAATTTGTGCGGTAATTATTCACACACAGCCACAGCCGACATTAACATATGGCCCATTCTGCGCCCCAATGAAAGCGCATTATGCTCCATTAAAACAATTAAAAGCAAATATTTGTAGAAGAAGAAGAGAAAAACAAAAATGGTCAAACAAAAAGTAAGAGCTGCATATGATAAAGAAAAGATATGGAGGCAAATATCAAATCATGCGCAAATTGCCGCACAAGTTCAATGGCATTCGCCATGTAATATAGAAAAAGCAAAAGTCTTTTTTTTTTTTTTTTTTTTGTCGCTTATCTGTACACACACATATATACCATTGCAAGTCAAGAGCAGGAAAATCAACTGCAATTAACGACAATTGCAGCGCTTGCCGACATTCGAAAGTGTTAAACAACAACATGTTATATGCCATAGATTATAGATTATTTGTGCAGAGAGCACTCATAATAGAGCAGCTACCAAAAACCTTGACCAGAAAAAAAAAAAAAACAATAACGAAAAAAAACGAAAAAAGAAAGAAAACATCGAAATCAAAGTCAAAACTTGGTCGCTCGGCAACATGTTGCTGAGCGTCGTTGGCAACATGTTGCCGCTGCTTTTTCTTTCAAGCTTCTCTCGGTGGTCTCACACGTCTTCGGCTCGGCTGGTGAAATGGCGAAATGCGAGCAAATGTCTTCGGCTGCTTTAACGCAGCGCAAACACAAAACTTTGGCTTAGTTCTGAGCTGAATTTCCCGACGTGCGGTCGACATACGCGACGCGCTGCGCTCATAAGCTATATATACGCTATATATAACAGACAACAACAACAGCAGCAACAACAATTTTCTTTTCGTGCGTCGTTGCGCATGCGTAGCTGCTGATATTATAAATAAAAGTGAAATCCTGCTCGTGTTTTTTGTAATATTAATAATAATAATAATATAAATTACAATTAAAAGTGTAGCACAGGATAGCTACGCATACAAAAATCCAAATCCAAATCAAAAAGAAAGTGAACGCCAACAAGTGCTGTGCGAAAGTGAAAGTACCCGTTCGCCTGTCGCGCTCCTCGGCAGGAGTCGGCCCCAGCCATGTCGCGGGCACGAACATATACCTATTATCGCATAAAGGATAAGTGGCTCAGCCTGCTGCTCATCTGTGTGCTCACGCCCAACAGCGTCTGCGCCGTGGGCTATCCGACAGCACAGCAGGAGCACGACATGCTCATACTGGATGCGCTGTCACGGCGCAGCGGCACCGGCTATTACGGCGAGAACAGCGTCATGGAGATGCTATCCCGAAGTACACAAGCTCACTTAAACTGCAACAATTTGACTATTGACTTTGTCTCTTTCCCCAACACACGCCCAGACACACACACAGTGTTCTTGTGTCTGGGCGTGTGTGTGAGTGCGTTCGATTCCAACTAATGCCCATTATTTTGGTGTCTTTGCAGTGATACCGCAGTCGTGCCGCTTCCGTGGCCACAAATTCGAGTGCGGCCTGTCCATCTCGTGCGTCTTGGGCGGCGGCAAACCTCTCGATCTCTGCTCCGGCGGCATGATCTGGTCATGCTGCGTGGACAAAGACCTCGACGCCGAGGAGAGTCCCCATGCAGCGCCGATCAACAATACAAGTGAGTAACAGTAACAAAGTTCTAACAGGCGCAGCAGACTGCTTTCCCAGCGATCCGCTACCCATTTAAAAGACAACCCCCATTCCCGCTTCCCAATTGGATTTGCCATGCTTAGTTGGATGTTAGAGCATTTGCTGCTGCTGCTCTTTTGCTTGACGGCGAGCACACAAATTGCAAATTGCTGCGCTTCGACTTATGCAATGCCCTGTATAATAGCGCAATAAATTAGTTCGCATTTCGAAAATGACAACAAATTGCTCGACTTTGCCTGCATATTTGCACACACACATACATGCACACCAGCTAACATATGTCTGCAGGGGCAGATGTGCTGCAAATGCATTACTAAACTCCATTTGCTGCACTTTCAAGTAGTGGGCGCTGAACTGGAAGGTGTCAATGGTGGCACATTAAAGAGGTCGTTCAGGCTACGAACTGCATATTGAGGCTGTCTGAAGTCAATGGGAAATTCAATTACAAAACGAAAATTGATGATAATTTAATTAATAATAATTAACCAGATTATTCTTTATATATGAATTGAAATCTCCGATCTTATGGAATCTGCCAAAAAACAGATATATTTGGTTATAGGGTAGGTACCTAGATAAAGGAAATTCTTGTGCCTAGAAAACTGTTAGATAGAGTAGATCCCGATGGTTCGAAATGGCAAGGGAATCAGTTTTTTTTTTTTTTTTTTTTTTATTTTTTTTTATTTACACGCAAATTTAAACCATTGAGAATTATTGTGGAGGAATTTCTTTCAATGGATTTTTATTTATTTTCGGCGAACTATCGAACTACATTACGAGCGAACTATATTACGAATTATCGACACTGTACTCGACAAAATTTATGTTTAAAGCCAGCTTTATATAGTTATTAAATAATAATCCAAATTTTACATTCAAAAGCTTCAACAGCAAATGCCTGAAATATATATTATATATATATTGCTACAAATTAAATACAATTTCATAGCCTCCACAACCCCATGCTGTTAATGCCTTCTCTGCTTTACTTCATCATTTTTTCGCACTTCACATTTTTGGCTATAAAATTGATTTTATACAAATTCAATTACCATCAAGTGCATTCGCTGTATCGTAATCTTAGCCAACGCCAGCAACCAAAACATTATGCCACACACACACACTGACACATGAGCACGCACGTTGAGGCACGTTCGTCTAGCAGCTGGTTGTGCTCTGTTTAGTTTTCTAGGCTGGCCATAAAAATGTGCAACAAAAACAAAAAACTAAAAAAAAAAAAAAAACACATTACAACATGTTGTAAATAATTCTAAGTGGAAATTTTTTAAGCAGCCCAATTTTAGCCCCAATTTTATATGTATTTTTCATATATTTTTCTCTTTTTATTTTTTTTTTTGGTAATTTTCTTAAAGCTCTTTAAGTAACAAGTTCTGTTTTGCGTAGTCACTTTCTTTAGGGGGAAAAGGTCTTTTGGGAATTTTCAGTTTTTTGCTGTTGTTGTTTTTACTTCTGTCTGCGTGTCGCTCAAGTGTAACATTTTTCAGACCTCGAATGCGACAATGAAAAGACCCAAAAACAAAATCGGTTGCGGAAATAAGCGAAGGTGAACGTTTTTGCATTTTAAAAGTGAAATTTCACGTTGGCTGCGCCTTTTGCCCAGAGCCTGCATCAAGCTTATTTTTTTATTTATTTATTTGTTTGTTTTCTGCTTCTTCTTCTTTTTTTGTGGGAAAAATCCCAGCGCCCACAGTTACGGCATTTGGCTTTAGAGTTTCAAGTCCAAGACGAGAAACTCGGACAGAAACTGGTAGAAAAAAACGAAAAAAAAAAAACAGTGTTAATCAACTAGCGGCGTTCTGTTTTATTTCGCTTTTCTTTCACCTTCTTTTATTTTCGTTTTTTGAATTACGTGCGAAAAAATTATCCCATACATTTGTCTTTTGTTTCTGTCATGGACTCCGGTCAATTGAGTGTGTATGTGTGTGTGTGTGTGTGTGTGTTTGCTAGTTGTGAATTAAATTTCGACTTCATTGGCTGCGGTGACATAATAAAGTCGTGCAGGGCGCTAGCCGTAATTGCGGGCTCAGTGTTTTTTTTTTTTTTTATTATTATTACTTTTGCTCAAGTCTTTCACTACTTAAAGCGAATCACAGGCGAAAGTTGAACTCCAACTGAAAAGCTGCCCCAAACACACACAGCAAACACACACAAACAAACAAACATACTTAACCGTCCGTTTGTGCATAGAGGAAAATTGCAACATCATCATGATTCTTACACACAGGTGACATAATACACTTGCACGACATTTATCCCGACTTGTCGCCTGCTGTTAGCAAGCCGGCGCATCATCCAGCACACCACCAGACGCAACACAACAACCACAATAGCAACAGCAACGGCCTGCCAGCGGCCTCGTCAGCACGGCCGGCCTATCCCAGCCACGCCTATTATAGCACAAAGCGCCCAGCGCTCTACAACGGCAATCCCTATAAACCCAGCTCCAGCTCCGGCTCCGGCTCCAGCTCTAGCTCGTCTGTACACCGGCCCAGCGTCTCGAGCTTAAACAGCTGGGAGCATGACTCGAATCACTTGGGCATCACCAATCATCTGGACAGTTTCTTTGATGCGGATGCACCGCCAGATGGCGCTGTTGCAACCCGACCACCAGCATTACACGCACCCCAGGCACAGCCCTTCGCCGTGGGCAATGTGCTCGATCTGAATGCCGGCGAGGCGGTGGATGAGTACCAAAGTGGTGGCTACAACGACGGCAGCTATCGTCCAGTGCCGGGTACTAAAAATCAATTGAGCTGTACCAAAAATCTAACTGTTATCACTATTATCACTCTCTCTCTCTCTTTCTTTTATACACGTTGGTTTTCGTTTCTCGCACCACTGCAAATTTTCCTTAGTATGCACCACACAGCAACAACAACACTCTGAATCACAATATTTATGTAGTTATGCACCGCTCTCTCTGTCTCTCTCTCTCTCTGATCTCTCGAATATTCTGATGTTTTTTAACTAATTCCATTTAAATTTATCTCATACAGGCTGCGGCGAGGTTTTTTCGCGCACCAATCGCATTGTGGGCGGCCACTCGACGGGCTTTGGCTCGCATCCCTGGCAGGTGGCGCTCATCAAGAGCGGGTTTCTCTCACGCAAACTGAGCTGCGGTGGTGCATTGATCTCCAATCGCTGGGTGGTGACAGCCGCTCACTGTGTGGCCACGTAAGTAGCGCTGCTTTGAGCGCTCAACATCATTCAACCACTCAATCATTTTTCTTATTTACCGCCAGCACCACCAATTCGAACATGAAAATTCGGCTGGGCGAGTGGGACGTGCGCGGACAGGAGGAACGTCTCAATCACGAGGAATATGGTATTGAGCGCAAGGAAGTGCATCCGCATTATAATCCAGCCGATTTCAAGAACGACGTCGCACTCATACGACTCGATCGCAATGTGGTTTACAAGCAGCACATCATACCCGTCTGCCTGCCACCGCCCACCACCAAGCTGACGGGCAAAATGGCCACCGTTGCGGGCTGGGGGCGTACGCGGCACGGCCAGAGCACTGTGCCCTCAGTGCTGCAGGAGGTGGATGTGGAGGTCATCTCAAATGATCGCTGTCAGCGCTGGTTCCGCGCCGCCGGCAGACGTGAGGCCATACATGATGTGAGTCAAGCAACTTGATAGACATATATCAAATGAATAACATATCTGCCCTCTCTCTCTCTCTCTCACCTAAACCAGGTCTTCCTCTGTGCCGGCTATAAGGAGGGCGGTCGTGACTCCTGCCAGGGCGACAGCGGCGGGCCGCTCACGCTTACAATGGACGGCCGCAAAACGCTAATCGGACTCGTCTCCTGGGGCATTGGCTGCGGACGGGAGCATCTGCCGGGCGTCTATACCAACATACAGCACTTTGTACCGTGGATCAACAAGGTTATGGCCAACGACAACAATGCGTGAATACAGTTTCCATAGCTAGACTGTCATTTGATCAATTTGGAAGACTGCAGCCACCGCCTGCAGCTGTTGCAACTGCAACTGCAACACCCGTTTGCCTGGCCATGTGATTCCTCTACGACTCGGGGTTGCTAGTGTTTAAGTCGAAGCTCTCAATCTCACAGCAGCTGCTATTTATTTTTTGTATACTCTACCCCTAACTCAAACCCACTGGCGATATTCTATTGAATGCTGCTCGAACCTTGGAGGTTAACTGCTAATCATTAAAATATTTATTACATTCATCTGCATAGATTTTTATGAATTTATATATAACTTTATTTATAATTTAAATTAATATTTAAAAAATAAAAATAAAAACTAAATAATAAATACACAAAAATATTTTTAAAATTCTGTGAACTTTGCAAAAAAATAATAATAATAATAAAATAAAATAAATAACCAAAAAAAGTAAATATTAAAATACTAAATTTTATTTTTCTTAATTTATTATTTTAAATTCCAGTAAATAAAAAAAAAATGCACATTTTGGTGCTCTTTCAGTAACACATAAATGCAACATATATGTATGTATATAAATGTCTTAACATTTCCCATTTTAATTTTTATATCAGCTAGGCAAACAAAAGTGAATTTTAAAAACATTAAAATATCATTAAATTGATTGAAAGAAAATCGTTTCAACGTTTTCTCTTTCAAAATTCAGCTGAGTAAACAAAAGACTTAAGACACAAACTTGCTTGCAATACTAAAAACCTTTGCATACTTTTGAGCGGTCATAAAAATCTCGCTGCTCTACTCTCAACAGCCTGCACAACAAGTTGGCAGCTCTACGAAATATTTACACAGTTTAAACAGCTTGTGCGGCAGATTCAAAATCAAATATTAAGAAAAACAAATAACACGGAATCATGATAAGAACGAAAGGGAGAAAAGATAAATAGAAATAGGAGCAGCAGCCGCAGCTAAATGAAAGCAAACACGCGGCAGGCAGCAATCACATCTTCCCAGAAGCGCAAGTGCAACACAAAATGTGGCAAGCGGGCGACAAACAGGTGAGCCACAATGAGGCATGCTCAGAATTTCTAATGATGCAACTTCCGTTGTGGCAGCCGAACGGCATGAGGCAGCAGTCAGCAGCGTGCATTGTGTTTGTGTGTGTGTGTTTCGGTAAACAGTTTTATAGAAAATCAAATCAAATAACATAATCAACACAAGTTTGGCTAATTAAGCGCTTGACTCAGCGTGGCTTATCAGGCACAGCTTCTCTGCCACTCTCTCTCTCTCTCTCTTTCTCTCTCTCACACACACACTCTCTTTCGCTTCTTGTGCTCTTGGCATCCACAACAAATGAATTCCACTTCTTTGTTGCTTGTTTGCCTGCCTCTGCCTGGCTTCGACTTCTGCCGTTGTTTGTTGCTCCTCTTGTCCAAAGCGCTGGACAACTGGGCGCAACTTGTTGCCTGCTTGCGGCTGGCTGGGCCTGCGCTCAGTCGCTGTGAAGCAGCGCCAGTGTCAAGGTCTCTCAAGTTCAAAGCGTTTGTTGTGCGTCGATTGCTTAATTTATAAACAAAACTAAGAATACAAAACGATCAAGAAATATAATATTCATAAAATGATATGAGCCGCGCTTTAATTAGATAAACCTATGCCAAATGATGTGCTATTAAACGAAATTGATTTAAGTGATTGATTATGCATGTTACTGTTGTTGTTGTTGTTGCGGTTCATTAAGCTGCAAGTTGGCTAAGTATAAACATAAACAAACTGCTTTAAAGCTGCTTCAAAATGCATTAGCATAACTCTCTATATGTGTGTGTGTGTGTGTGCGTGCGTGTTTTTTATAGTCAGGTACATAATTAGCAACAAGTGCAGCCAAATTGCTAACAACTCTTATCAGCCGCCAGCATAAACAGGTATGCACACACACACACACACACACACACACACACACAAACACATACAGAGAGAGATAACTAACAGCAGCGTTAATAAAGTTTGACTTTCTTAACCTGAAGACGTGCATAAATTATAACACAAACAATACACGCACACACACACACACAGCGCGTCAGTTAGCTGAACAAAGAATGGCGACAGGCTGTGTGAGCACCACTCATTTGCACCACACACCAAAAAAGATATATATACATACATATATATATTAAAGAAAAAGCCAGCGAGCGACTCCCAAGTTAACAACTGCGCTGTGTTGTTTTTGTTGTTGTTGTCGCTGCTTCTTGCTATTTTAATGTGAAAGCGCTGTTAACCCCAAACTTCAGGCTGTATGGCCCCGCCGCCCTGCCGCAGCCGCAGTCGTCGCATACAAATGCCGCCAATCAGCTGTGGCTGTGGCTGTGACAACAAGAGAGCAGCGAGAGAGTGCGCCAGCGTGTGTGTGTGTGCATGTGTGTGACTGTTCATTTGAATAAGCAACAGCTACAGCAGCAACAGCAACAACAACCACCACAGCCACCTAGCGTTTGTTGTTCTCACCATTTTGTGAACTGGCCTTAATGGAAACCGTTATGCGCGAAGCTCTAACTAGCGTCGCAGTCGCCGCCGCAGTCGACGCCGGCATCGCCCGGCTACGCATGCGCACATGTTGTGGCTCTCTATATGCGCAAGTGCCCCCCTCTATATATATGTGTGTGCGTGTGTGTTGCTTCTATAGCTACTACCAATTTTGCTTTGTCGTTCTTCAGCGCCGTTCGCAGCGCAGTCGCAAAATCTCAGCAGCAGCAGCAGCAACAGCAACAGCAACAGCAACAGCAGCGCAGCGACTGCGACTGCGACGCCAACGCTGCCGTCGGAGTTTGTGTCTTTGGCTTTGGCTGACTTCGACTGGCGTGTGGATCTTTTGTATGCGCGCTTCTCTCCAGACGTGCGCAACTCAACGCGGTCTTTGGCTCCTCTTCGGCATCGACTTGCTTCGCCTTCGGTTACGTCGATTTCGTGTGTGTGAGCGTGTGTGTGTGTGAGTGCGTGCCTGTGTTCATATCGCGCGCGCGTGTGTGTATGTGTGAGTGCGCGTGAGTGTCCATCAGAGAGCCTATAGAACTTCAGTTATTGGCCTCAAATTGGCTTGGCCAGTGCGTAGCTGCATAGCGAAAAAGGCAAAGTAAACAAAAGTCACAATCCTTTCCCAACACAAAGCCCGGCATCGCGTATACAAATTTCCAACAGTTTTTTTTCCTTCCTTTTTTATATCATATAAATATATATATTAACTTGATATATATATTTTTTCGTGTGCTCAAAACAAAAGGCAGCCTGTGCGAGCGAGCGACGGAGAGAGCAATCAACGAAAGCTCAGAATACAAGCAGCGTGAGTGTCAAACAAAAGCCAAAAGTGAAGAAACTCATAAAAAAAATAAAAAATCATATTTAAGAAACTAACAAAACAAAAAGCCGTACGAAGATTTAAGAGCTAAGAGAAACATAATGCCAACAAAAACATAGAATAATAACAGTGCGGCATCAAATTAAAAGAAATGACCCCAAAATAGTTGCCAGTGAAGTTTAAACTACAGTAAAAACAAAGAAAAAAACCCAACAACAACAAAGAAACAGCCGAAAATACACGCAAGTAAATGCAAAAGATAAAGCAGTAACAACAACAACAACCAGGGAAAAACAAATCTTTAGATACGCATCCGTCAGATACGCGCGCCCCTTTGCTGTATGTGAGTGTGTGTGCGTGTGTTAAGTAGCTGCGCCGCACTTTCTACCACGTACAAGTCAATTAGACCCACACACACACACTCACACACAATAGTTGCGCATAACTGCAACTAACTGCAACAGCAGCAGCAGCAGGAGCAGCAGCAGCASCATCAACTTGCTGCAAAACAAGAGCAGAGGCGCAACAACAAGTTCAAGCGCCTTGATTTTGATCAACGGCCAAAGCCAAACGAGTCCAAAGCAAAAGTTGCCTTGCGCTGCAAATTTTTATTGAAATTCCTCTTAAAAGCAACAACAACCAGAATAACAGCAACAACAATCAAAGCAGCAGCACCACCAAGAACAACAACAACAGCGGCAAGTGTTTCAATTGCCACAGCAGCCGCAGCAGCAGCCGCAACAGCATCAGCAGGAGCCAACAAGACACAAGAGCAAAAACTTCTTTTTGGAACTGGTCTGCTAGCTGTTCGTCTTGTTGTTATTGTTGCATCTGTTGTTGCTGTCGCTTGACTTTGACTTTGGTCTAAAATGCAGAGGCTTCAACTGCTGTGGCCACTGAGCGAACTCCCCCCATTTGTGGCAGCCACAGCAGCGCCTTGAGCATTATTTGCATTTCAGCTTATTCTGGTTTTGCCAGCATGAGACAAGAAGTGGCTGCCTCTTGTAGCAGATGCTGTTGCAGCAGCAGCAGCAGCAGCATCTTGTGCTGCTCAAGCTCCAGTTACAGCTGCAGAAGAGCACGCTGCCTCCTGCACGCCCGCCCATCTTAATTACAATAAATTGCGCTGCAATTGAGAAATTTTGTCGTTTGCAAGTTTGTGCCTTAAGTCTTTTGTTTTGGCCAAGGCATTCAACAAGTGTTTTTTCCATTTTGTGCTTCTTTCGACTTGGCTTTCTAGAGCTAACTGAACTAATGAACTCCCGCATCCCGCAGCTAGCAATAGACAGCATACATTATATAGACGCACATACACACACACACATAGTCGCACAAAGACTGACAAACCCATTCAAAATTTCTCCAAAGCCGTTTTTGGTAACCAGCCACAGAAATGAAAGCCAAGTTGAAGGCAGCGTCGCAGCAGCAAAAGTGGACGCACTTCTGGTTTCTGATTATGTGCGCTCTACCAAACATCATATGGCATAATTCTATTGTTCACCTGCTTCCTCTTCTTTCACTCTTTCATTTTTCTTCTTCTTCTACGCTTTTTGGCTAATTTGATGTGACAATATTGTGCTTTCTGCATGCATTTCACTTTTCTTTTAAACAAATAAAGTTGTCTATATATAAATATATGTATATGTGTATATGCATATATATTCATATGCTAGCAGAGACAGAGAGAGAGAGAGAGAGGGAAAGAAGAGCTGCCTTATAAAAAAGTACAATTTGTGTGGCTTTCGCTTTTATTTAAGGCAAGTGTTATACACACACACAAGCACTAAAATACATACAAATGACTTTTTAATAAAAGTCCAAACACACAAAATAAAAGTTCCCAAGAAAGAAGAAAAAATAAATAAAATCAGCTTGTAATTTCACTTTTAACATGTCGAGTGGAAATAAACATCAAATTTTTATTTGCCCAGGTGGAAATTACTTAATTGTTTTCAGGCAACGCCTACTCAGCTGCTCAGCCGCTCAGCAGCTCTCCAGCTCAATTCAATAATAATAATAAAAAAAAAAAAGAACCCACAATCATGCAAATCATCTGTGTGTGACCCACTTTAACAATATTCTCAGCTACTCACGTGTCCGCTCGCCGGCTGTCCGCCTGTCTGCCATTCCGACGACTGGTTTATCGACAGTAGCCGCAAAATTCATGTTAATTTGCACATTTCTCGAAATGGAACGCGAATACAATTACACGCATCTGATATCTATATGGCCAAGCCAAGAACGTGACCCAAATACACAAAAAGCCGTTCGTTCGCATAGCGACTAAACAAAAGCCATTTGCCTGTGAGTGTGTGTGTGTGTGTATGTGAGAGAGATGTTTGCTCGGTGATAACTCAAATCTCTCATCTCAAATCCCACCAATTTTATTTTGATCTGGCGAGCTCAACTGCAATTATCTGCCGATTCTGACACCTAATTAAAAGCAATCAGCATTGCGTTCATGCGGATATATTTTATAGCTTCCGTTCTGGTTTTTTCGCTCTCTTTGCATCTCTTTCTGCTTCTCATGGGAGATCGCTTAAATTATATTTAATTGCTCATAAGACAACGCCCATTAGCGAACCAAATGCCAGCATAAAGAACAAGAGCGCTTTGGGCCAGCCTAGCGGCATCGTTTGCATGGACAACTGATGAGTTCCTAAAACGTTCTGAAAGTAATTAGAAATTATGCTTAGGCAAACATCATGATTTTATATTATTCCATGGTAAACTAAATCTATTTCTTGAGTAGAACTATATCACAAATCAGACAAATATTCTATTAGATATCAAAGATCTACTACAATATATCTAGTGCAAATACATTTTCTATTTTGCGCATCCTACAATTTTAAGATATTCTCATTAAATTTATGAAGAATCATTTAATTGCCATTAACAACAAATAATGTATCAGTAAATTTTGGAAATTAATTAATTAAATTAATAGATTTGAAAGCATTTAGAAGTTTATATTAAATTTGTAATTTTTTTTATAGATTTAAATCAATTTTGTACGCTTGCTCTCTAGATTAATTAAATTTTTATATACGTATATTCATAGAAAATTTTTATATATACCTATGAACAAATATTAAACGTAGGAAGTTCTCTAGACCGAAATTTTAATTATTACAAATAATTTACATTTCTTGAAAATCAATTTAGAAAAAAATTTTAAAATTTCTATACTATTCCCTTTCTACAGGGTATATAAACAGGTATTGAAACATATGAAATGTATTTTTTTATGTTTGTTGTTTTAGACTTTTATATTTAAGCTAAACAACATTTTATGGCATTATATACACCTTTTTTGCACAAGCCGCATGCGGTTAAAAAATATATAAAATGCCTTTAAGCTGCGGGCAACGGTTCTGGCCCAATGTCAATGACCGTATTACGCAACGCAGCTCCTAAGAACACGAGCAACAGCAGCAGCCGTCGCAGCAGCAGTAGTTGTTGTTCTTGTTGTTGTTATTGTTGTTCTTGTTGGTTAAAGAAAACGCTCCAAACAAACGCAGCGCGACAGCGAATTGCTCAGCGCTGCAGATCGTGACGAGCGTGTGAGCAGATGAGTAACAAAAAGAGAGCAGGATAGAGTGGGAGAGAGAGAGAGATAGCGAGGGACGCACATACAGCTAACTTCTAATGCTGCTGCTGCTGCTGCTTACGGATCAATGAAAACAACGTCGCCAAAGGCAACAAACACACACAGCGTGTGAGCCAAATGCTGCTCATCAGCAGGTTGGGCCGCCTTCGGTTCGTTACCAATTCCAGTTAGATTCAGTCAACTCATCATCAGCGAGTCTATATTGAGTTACCTCCCCGCCGTTTACATTTCTTCTTTTGTTGCGCTTTCTTTGATTGTTACAGTTTATGTCATCATATCTGTACATTTGTCATGCCTGAAACTTTCTTCAGCAGCAACAGCAGCAGCAGCAGCAACAGCAGCAGCAGCAGCAGCATCACCCGTTCATCAATTAGTCGTATCTTGAACTTTAACGCACTGAGAACCAGTTGCAGCATTTGTGAGCACACACTCGTTTGCACTTTGTACAGTTATATAAACGCTTATACAACTTGTAGTTCCCGCTTATGCTGGGCATATATGTGGGTATACCTATATAGTATATCGAGCTGCCCATTAGCACGTTGTTGTGCGCTTTCTACGCACACACACACTTTTGCTTTCCATCGGCTGCTTTGGGCATGACTAAACACTCGATAACAGCAGCCGCTGAAACAATGTTACCTGCCCAGGTGGTTAAATTACACATACGCATACCTGTCCCTAACCTTTTTATTTGCAAGCTTCATTTCAAATTTCTTTTCGCTGCGTTGCTATACAGTTTTTTTTTTTTTTTCTCTTGTTTTAGCCAAGGGCATTTTTAGTTAGTCATGCTGCACTATTGTTGCGTTTTCTTTGTATTTGTTTTTTGGTGAAACTCAAGTTGATATAGATTGGCATTTGTATTGTTAGTTTAGATCTAAGGACTGTTAATTGAAATGTATTTATATTGTTAAATAATTAGATTTATTATATATTAGAATAGTTTAGTTTTACTCAAGTAAACATGTGTTGGAAGGAAGAGAGTTTAGTGGAAATTTAATCTTTTTAAATGCATTTGTTGACATCATTCTTTGCATATGATATCCCTCAAGATCCCATAAAAATACAATGATAGTCAGATATTAAGATCTTTTTCATGCGTATAAAATATTATAATAATTGAAAAAGTGAAGATTGGGCACATATGCAGATATACATTCACCAAATAAGTCTGCATTCTTTTTCCTTTTTCACATATCAAGCATACATTCATCTCTATAAATAATATATATGCATCACTCTAATCAAAGTTTCTCAACATAGTTTATATATGGAAACCTTAGGCAAAAATGACCACACCAATTTCTCTACTAAATCACTCCACCATCTCCACTCAAATCTAAAATCTAAAAACTCTTCATTCTCCTAAGCAAAGTTCTTTCACACTTCTCTGCATATATTTTCTCACAATTGTTAGATAACTTCTGAAGCGTAACTTAAGTGCTTTAAGCTGTAGAAAGACTTTCTTTGCTTCTAGACGTTTGTTATTATTTACTCATTTTTTTTTTTATTTCAAAATTTTTTCCTTCCTTTTTTTTTGGTTTTTGCATATGCAAGTCACTCGAAACGAACGACTTTCACCTACATGAAGAGTTTGAGTCATCCACAGAAACTTCTACGCACTTGCCTGAATGTTTTTGTTGTTGTGGTTGCTTTTGTTGTTTTTCTTGTTATATTTGCCGTGCCCATGACTGAGCGGTAGAAATTCCGTGTTTAGTTTTAATTTGAATACGGATCAGGGCCGTAAAACGTTTCACATTCATTTGCCGCAATGATTCATATATATATGTTTATTTTCCATTTGCAGATGGGTGCGTTGCAGCAGCAGCAGCAGCAGCTGACTAACAAATACAGATACCGAGCTAGAGATACCACGACAATGGCAAGCAAAAGTGGAGCAGACGACAACAGCAACAGCAGCAAAAGCAGCAGCAGCAGCTCAGCCCAGCCCGCATTGATCAACAGCAGCACTACGAACAGCAGCATCATCGTCATCCTGGCGCTGGGCAGTCTGCTGCTGATGCTGCTGCTGCCGGCGCTAGAGGCCAGCCCCGTTTTTGTGGATAATCCCAGCTTAGCGCAGTGTAAGTAGCCAGATAATTATGAAGCTGTCAAATTGAGCAGCAGCCAGCCAAGTGGCCAGCTTTGGCAGCATTTCACTGGAATCACTCAAGAGACGTGGCGTATAAAGACATCACGTTAGCTGACGCTGAGGCTGAGGCTGGGGCTGAGCCACTCTGTCAGCAGCGCCTGTTGACAGGTTTTCCCCAGAACTCAAGCACTTTCTCTCACGTAGGCTATTAAATAAAAAATCTCTTTGCTGGAATACTCTCTTTTCATATTTATGGGACGCGCTTCTTCGAAACAATGAAATGAAACAAAAGCATATGCAATTTTGTGAAAATTCTACAGCAGGAGGTAGAGCATATAAAATGAATTTTACTTGAACAAGAAGATGCATAGATAAAAGAGAGATTTTAATTCAAGGGGTTTCTCTATGTAATATAGTGAACCGATCTAGGCAACTTATAAATTTCTTAAAGGAATTTTTTTTTCATTGATTTATTTTATATTTTTACTATATTTTTTAGTTCAAACAGCTAGAAAGATTTTTAAGGAATATTTTGCAACTATTTTAACCCATCAAATATTACTCCATATAAATAAATGTGAAGAGCTACATTAGCCAATGCTTGCCATCTAGAAAGCAGCTTAAGTAGTGTAATCCAAATTTTTGCTTCTATGCCATCAAAATTCACGACTTCGGCACTTTGGGAAAACTAAACTCTGGCATAAAACTTAAGCTCAGCAGCGAGCAGAAGGCTGTTAATGGCCATTGGTCATGTTCATTTCTGTGCTAGAACCAGAATTGGTAGCAACTGAGCGCCATCAGATTTGATTGCCAAAATAATAAAAAAAACGAATGACTGAAGACACAAACTTGTTTTTTTTTTTTCTCTCTGAGCAAATGGCCAATAGTTTCGGGCTGCTCTCATGTGTTCGCTGGTCTCTTGTGGCGTCTCAAATGAAAGTAATCAAAATTAATGATGCAGAGCGGCGACAAGCGTTGCGTATTGAGCGTAGTTTAATTGGGTCATAGCCATTAAGAATCAAACTCAGATGCTATTAGCACTTCCTCTTCATAAGATGTGTGTTAGCCAGCGACAGCTGCCAATTTGCCGCCAACAATGGGCAATGGGCAGTAAGCAGAGCTTGAGGCAATTACAGCAGCATCACAGTTCACAGATCGCGAGAGCTTTGAAAATAAAACTACCAAACAACACACACACAGACAACTTTCTTGGCTGAGCAAAAGCAAACAGTGAGCCAAAACTGGCAATGCCGGCAAACGGGCAAACGTCAGCGAGCAAAAGCAATTGAGGTCAACCATCAAAGAATGTTGCCATAAAAATAAGCCAGCAGCGCAGCCGCAAGAAAGCGTGTGCCAGACAACAACAACAACACCAACAACAACAAGCCATTGCCAGTGGCTGCGTCAAGGTGGCAGGCATTTCATTTTTATGACTCGCAATGGACCAAAAGACAATAACAACAACGAACACAATAATAATAAAAAAAAGAAGTATATAAATGTATATGTATATGTATATATGTTTATCTTGTATCTGGCAAGATGCGGCGCAGAAAGCGGAAAGTAAATCGACGCCAAGTGAAAGGGAAATAAATAAAAATATATATATATAAGAAGAAGAAGAAGAAAAACAATGTCAGCCATGAACTCATTCTCAGCGCCTCTAACACTTCGTACCACGCCTACGCTGAGGTCAGCGCCTGACCCAATTTCAATAGCCGCCACGATCGAGTTGCCCCCAAAGAAAATGTGGCTCGTCGTCATTCGCATGCCAAAAACGAATTTTCGACATTGCAATGCGGGTCTGGGCCCCCAGCTCGAGAGGTTTAGCTGGCCCGTTGGTTTTGGCTGCCTGATCGGCTGCTTGGTAGGCTGTTCGTGTCGCTTCGCGAGTGGCTAGCAAAACATATGCTAAGCTGTTGACCCAAAAAGCCACAAAACGAAATGCAAACAGCAGCAGCAGCAGAACCAGGCGAAGAAGCTAAAGAAAAAGCTGAGCCAACGCCAACGGCAACGCCAACGCTGACGGCGACGACGACGCTGACTGCGCTGCCATGCGTTGTCTATGAAACGTGACAAAGTTTTGACTACAAAATATATAATCTGAAATATGTATGCGTATGTGTGTGTGTGTGTTGGGCCGGCATTTGTTTTTTTTCGGTTTTTGGCTTTTTGTCGAGTTCTTGGCCAGTTCGTGTCTTAAGTCATTTGTTTTGCGCTGCCTCATACAATATATCAGCATTTCGTGTTAATTGCATAACCAATAAACTTTTGTATACATCAGCTTTACAGTTAAAGTTCAATAAACGCCAGGCACAGCAGAGCTCAGCGCTGCTCAGGCTGCTCAGGCTGCTGCAGTGCTTCTGGCTTTAACATTGAAACACGAGTAAATCGCGCGAAAATTTATATGCCAACTAACTTGAGCTTAACGCGATGCCTGACATGGTAGCTGCGGCGGCAGCTCGCAAGCTGCGTCGCTTTATTTATGACCGTGTGCGTACTGCAAACAAAAGGTTCTTCACATGGGGCGCCGAGTTCGTTGCTCAAGTCTTTCGTTTCGCCCTCTCTCTCTCTCACACACACACACACTGTCTCTGCGTGCGTCTTCCTCTTTGAAGTGTCGTCTGCAATTACATAAGTTCAAAGAATGCTGGCTCCATTACAAAATACTTGCGACTCGCTGTTCATTCTTAAAGTGGCAATTCATAAATAAATAAAAAGCACAATAATAATAATAATAATTATAATAATAACGCTACTGTTGTACATGTTGTTAGTGTTCTGTTCTGTTGTTGTCTCAACGTGCCTAGCTGCCGCCCTTCAGCTAAACCGATCTTCCTCTCCCTCTCTCTCTCTCTCTATTTGCCTTGTTGTTGCCACTTCATTTTCACTTGCTATAACGGCTTGCCTAACGGTAAATGTTTGCCTTAAATTGGCGTTAATCGCCCCAAACAAACGGAAACGACTTGGAGCATCAGAATAGCAAATAGGAATACAGAGCAAAACGCAAAACTCGCATTTAATTTAATTTTGTCATGCAATTGTCGTACTCTGAATCATGCACTGAGCGAAATTTATAATTACTTAAAAAAACAAAGAAAAATTAAACAAGATATTGCTAGAGTCGGTTGGAGTATATTAGAGACTGTACTTCAAAGTAGTTAAGGTGTATGGGAAATGTTTACGTTAGATTTTTTCTAGAGGGAGAGAGAGAGAGGGTGAGAAAGAGAGATAGAGAAAATGAGAGAGAAAGATAGAATTTCGTTTATGCGTCAGCTTTAGTTAGTATTAGTTAGTATAAATAGAGATCGTTACACACCTGTGTTCATAAAAATAGCGATACTATACTACCAAAAAAAAAATCTCAGTCCAATAAATCAAACATATGTACGTATATAGGTCTCAATTTTTCAGTCATTTAACTCTCTTCCAAAGAAGAGACTGCACAAAATATATGAATTCTTAATCTTTATATTCTCCTTCTTCATACTTCTTCTGATTATCATTCAGCTCATTATTAATAAACATTTCCCTTTTGCCTTGCAGTTCAATCCGGTCGCAATATACGCCATCTGCCGTGCATAGTGCGCAAATCGGGACGCTCGGGCGTCTGCATGTTTGCCATCGATTGCATCAAGCAGAATGGCACGCACTTGGGCACCTGCATCGATCGCTTCTACTTTGGCTCGTGTTGCGCCATGAAGGTAAGTGCGCAGCTGCAAGCACTATAATTAGCATAATCGACTAACCACACAACAAACTATCTCTCTCTCTCGCCCTCCTTTTCTCTCTCTCACTCTCTCTTCCCTCACAGGAGGAGGCTTCGCTGTTTGCACCGGAGATAAGCGACAATAGCATCGATCAGAATACAATTTCGCATTTCTCTCACGAATCCACGACGTTGCCCACGAGCACTCTCTTCAAGCTTACCACTGAGAGCAGCACCACGCACCACCACAACTATCAGCAGCAGCAAAACACAGCCAGCGAACTGCTCAAGAATGTCACTCAGAGTTATTTGAGCAGCCTGAAGCCAGTGCGCACCACCAGCACCAGTGCCAGCAGCAGCACTACCAGCAGTGGCAGTACTTCGGACAGCAGTACGACCCACTCGTTCAGCTCGACGCGTCGCCCCAGCACTGCGCACACCACCCACAAGAACTCGCACTTTGTGGTGCGCACCACAGTAAAGCCCAATCAAGAAGCTAAGCTAACAACCACTGTGAAACCGCATCGTCGTCGCACCACCACCACGCGACCAATGCTAACCACTGGGCCAGCTTTGGAGCAGCGCATTGAGACCACCACAGTGCCGAGCAAGTTTGTCACCTTCCAGATTGTGGAGACAACCACGCCATCTGCCACCGAACCCACCAATCGCTTACCCGAGACAACCACTCGGCGATACAGCAGGCCCACCGCTGGCATTAGCAGCAGTAGTAGCAGTAGCAGCAGCACCGCTGCCAAGACAACAAGCCGGACAACAACCACCAGAGCACCAACAACCACAGCTGCATCAACAACGACGACAACGACGACGACAACAACAACAACAGCGCGTCCAACACCACCGCTGCGCACCACAACGCCAAAACCTCACAAGCCGCAGTCTAGCAGACGCCCAGCGCCAACCAAGAAGCCGGTAACAACAACAACAGTCGCCGCAAACACAACAACAACAGCAACGCGCAAGCCAATCGACAGCAGCAGCAGCACCACCACCACCAGCAGCACAGCAACAACATTGCCCGTTCGCAAGCCAGCTAACAGCACCACCGGCACTATTGGCACCACCTCGACAGCAACCACATCGGGCACACCTGCATCAACAACAACCACCAAGCTGCCATTGGCGCCCAGGCCGAAGCCAAAGCCAACGGGCGAGATAGTCAAGGTGCCCGTGGTGCTGGCTGACGTGATACCAACAACAACCACCGGAACAACAGGCCCTAAAGTTACGCGCAGACCAATAACAACCAGCAGCAGCAGCAGCCACACAACAGCAACAACAACAACAACGGGGCCCAAAAAACCAGCGAGCAGCAGCAGCACAACAACAACAGCAACACCTACAACAACAACAACAACCACGCCCAAGCCCACGCGCCGACATACAACAAAAGCCACCAGCACCACAGAAGCGCCAACCACCACAACAAGAAGAACAACAACAACAACCGCTGCACCGCTGCTCACAACCGAAGCGCCCAAATTGCCAGCAAAGCCAACAACAACAATTGGCACAACAGCAACATCAACAGCAACAAGTGGTGTTAGCACCACCAAAAAACCAGGTCTGATCACCTGGACAGATGTTGAAGCGGAACCCATTACGAATGCAACCATTAGCAGCGATTGGCAGCCAGGACAATCGGCCGGAGATTGGGTGCCGTTGCCCACTTTGTTGCCCGAGTTGTACAACAACAAGACGACGGGCGCTGGCACAGGTAAGTGGTGCAGGTAGAACGTGGCAAATGCAAGATAAAACATGAATCGAACTCTAATTGCAGCAACGCCCAGCGCCACAGACAAGGTGGTTATCTCGGTGGCCACCAGCGTCAGCACCAGCAGCGGTGGCAGCGGCAGCAACTCCGAGTCGGGTCAGAGTCAGGAGGAGATGGAGACAATGGTTACTAGCAAGCCGCATAGAACCACAAAGCCGCCCAGGCCAGCGGCAACAACGCCAGCAACGGCGACAACAACACCAACAGCAACAACCACAACAAGAACAACTGTAACAAGCAAAACCACAGATGCACCACCAACAAGAACAACAGCAGCCCCAACAACAACAACAACGACTACGAGAACACCAACAACAACAACCACAACAAGAACAACAACAACAACTGAACGCTTGGAATTAGTATCCTCAACGTCGTCTTACACAGATTCAAGCAGCGAGTCAARCAGCAGCAGCACCACCACAACGGATTACAGCGGTGAGGAGCCGAATACAACGACAATCGATGCAGCTGGCAACACGACTGTAGCGCCTGCCACTGGCTTGGAGGGCGTCGATTACCGCGAAGGTGAGTCCAACAGGCATTGCTTCTTCATTGATGCACAGCCAGAGCAAAGAATAAAAATAGGAAAAATGAGAAAAAAAATTGAAGCTGGCTAGGCGAAGACTATAGGCCCTAGGTTTTCTATATGGCTATAATATTTATATTTTATTTTCAGATTTATATAAACGAGAAATAAATTTCAAATAATGATATTGTAGAGAAAGTTGGCTTTAGATGATATATAGAAATATGGAATTGAACAGACTTTTCACATATAGTCAGGTTTAAATCAATATTCCATAGTTCTTGCATAAAAATTCCTGGACACCTCAATTGAGTTCATTTATTATATTATAATAATTTGTTTGGGGTTTTTATTATA